AGTGATGGGATTTTTCTCAGAGCGTTGCTTGATAGAAAGAAATGCAGGTGAGTAATTTCGGCTGGATTAGAAACAGCAGCAAATGTCTCACCAATAGTATTTGCAATTTCTTCCGTATGGAGCTAATCACTCGGCCATCTTTTTCCAAAAAGGAAAGTGAGTGATCTTTATATATTCCGCATGCTTTTCGAACTCTTTCCCAAACCCGCTTACTCGGCGTAGAGGATGTTATTGACGACACATATGAAATCCAGGAATCCCTCTGGCTCTGCCTTCTTACTTTTCGTGCATTTGCTTTGGCTCTTTTAAAGGCTATGAGGTTTCGCAGAGTAGGATATCTACGAAAAATACCCCATGCTTTTTTCTGTTTTTTCAGTGCTTCATGACAGTTGCAATTCCACCATGGTTTCGTATATTTAAGCATTTTTCCTGATGTTCTAGGAATCGAAAGCATAGCTGCCTGAATAATAATATTAGTAACAGCTTCAACAGCGTCATCGATATGCACACCTTCTACCATTTCCTCTGTCAGCTCTGCAACGGAAGAGAAGAGTTCCCAGTCTGCCCTGTCCAGGATAAAACGAGGGACTCTCGACACGGGGTTTGCTCCTCTTCGTGCAAGAGACACAAAAATAGGATAATGATCGCTGTTGTACAGGTCATTTCCGACACTAAAAGTGCAAAATAAGCAACAGAGATGGTGAACAGATGGCAAGATCGAGAGCGTGGATGGAATGTCCTTGAAGGCTCATGGAAGTACGTATCTTGCCCATTATTTAGGAGACAAAGGCTGTGATCTTCGATCATCTGCTCAATTTGTCTTCCTCGGCAATTTGTATCTTTACTTCCCCAGAGTGGACTATGGCCGTTAAAATCTCCTATTATGATAAAAGGCTCAGGCAGCTGCTCTATTAGATTATTTAAATCTTGCTGATAAATGTGCTCATTTGGAGGCAAATACAAAGAAACAAATGAAACAACCATATCAAGATTTATTTGAGTAGCGACAACTTGGAGGGATGTCGTCAAAGGAAGTACATTCGAGGGATAATCCAGTGAGGAGAGGAGACCTACACCTCCACTGGCACGCTCACCTGCAAGGTTATCCTTCCTGACGAAAGAAAACCTCCGAAGTTTTGCATGGATGTTCGGGTTTCAAATTTGTTTCCTGTATTGCTAAGCACACAGGATGATACACATTTATTATAGATTTGATGTCCAGCAAATTTCGGTGGAAACCGCGACAGTTCCATGAGACGAGGGTGGCCATTATGACTGGTTTTTGTTCTTTCTGTGCTCTTGTTTGGTTTTTCGTGGAAGTAGATGCCTGGGAACTTCTAGACCCTCTTCTACTTCCATACCGTCTGAATCCGCAGATTCAAAAATCATATCGTCAAGAGAGCTATTGCTAGGACTTCTATTTTTATTATATTATTTGTGACTTTCAGTTTTAGGTTTTACTTTGAATGACTGTTTCTTTTTTTTTTTTTTTTTTTTTTTTTTTTTTGTATTAAATGAGTTGCATTTTCCGTTTTCTTGGTGGATGTGCTTGGTTGGGTTTTATTTGGTTTAGTGTGCGTGCCTATTGATGTTTGGGTGGCAATGCTACGTGTTGTTTTAACTGCACTGGCATAAGATTTGTTTGATTGGGCTGTGTGCTTTGAACTAGTTTTCTGGCTTCAGCATATGAGACGTTCCTGGTAACTTTAAGAGTCTGCACTTCTTTTTCCAATTTCCATTTTGGGCAGAGGCGTGAAAATGCTGGGTGCTGACCCTTGCAATTTATACACGAAGGCGCAGCGGTACAATTTTCAGAATCGTGGCCAATCTGTGAGCATCGGGCGCATGTGAGTTTGCCACGACAAGATGTCTTAGAATGGCCAAAACGCTGGCATTGGAAGCATCGCATAGGGTTGGGAATATAAGGTCTTACAGGACAATTTAAATATCCGGCCTTAATATTCTTAGGCAGATCAGGCGTGTTGAAGGTAAGGATCACGTGTTTCGTATCGATCAACTTACCTTCCTTACGCATCTTGATCCGCCTAGCACCGCAGACATTTTGGTCGGATAGCTCGGAAGCGATCTCTTCTTCAGGAACGTACAGAAGGTCGAATTCCGAGATTACGCCACGACAATAATTCAGTGTCTTATGTGCTGTTACAGTGACATTCGCTTGCCCAAGTTTAGTTATTTGAAGTAAAGAAGCAGACTGGGTGGCTGAGGTTGTATCAATAAGCAAGTCTCCAGGAGCGGAGACGCTTTATATTTCTCGGCTCACCAATACAAGAATGAATATGTATTTGTTTATTACAAAAGGAGACATCTTATTGCATTTCGCCAGAAGGACTAGAGATGAACTAGGAAACGGGGACTACTATTAGTATGATTTTTTGGCATTTGTATCTGTACGTAATTTTTTGCAGTAGACTTTTCAGAACTAGGTTGAGTGATGGTTTCCGCAGTAGGCTTTTCAGAACTAGGTTGAGTGACTTGGTTTAGCATTGGCATTTCAGAACTAGATTGAGTGACTGGATTGATCTTGAGTGACTGGAGTTTCACCTCGAAATCTTTTATTAAGTATATATGTGAGTTTGCCATATTGAAAGAAAAAAGATTCGGGTCCGACGGCCCCGCCCACCACGGAGCCCAACAAGGGAACACAGATTCCTGTGTTAGGGCTAGCCGGACCTTATACGCAAACTGAAGCCCCACAGTCGGCTTTCCCGAAAGCAGGTACTCCGAGAGCTTGACCCCAAGCCACTGATACAAGGACTAGTGACCAGCCGATTGACACCCGTGAGGACGACTAAGGTGCCTCCCGTTTAGCTGAAGCAGAGGCCAAAGTAGTGTGTTGGGGACAGTGCCTCGCCCCTCAACTACCAGGACCCTCCTTTCCAGCGACACGGGTCTCCACGCACGGCAAACACGTGGGCAGTTTTCTCGCCACTCGAAAACTAGATGCAAGGACTGCTCTAGTCTCTCGTGACGAGCCCCAAACTCCGTAGAGAGAAACCACGAGGGAGAAGGGAAGGGAAAAAGTTCCAGCCAAGAGGAGAGGAGACGGAAAAGAGGATAGATCACTGGGCTCCAGGATCGTGACACCCGTCTCACCAAGAAGATGATCCCCTGAAGGGCTAGGGTACCTCGGGATTGCCACACCCGTACTCACAAAAGTGAGCCCCCTGATGGTCTAAATTTTAATGATAACTCGTACTAGTTTCTATTTCCATAAACTTGCATTCATTAAAATTTAAGGATGTTGAACCCAGAATCAATTTTTGTAGATATAAAATAGGTCATATCCTTAGTGAAAACTTTCACATTTTAGAAAGATGGGTCAAGCAATAAAGAGTAGCAAAAATTCCTTTTTTTTTTTTTTTTTTTTTTTTTTTGTTTGTACATTGTACAGGAATAAATCTTGGCTAATTCCAGGGAATTGGCACCACTTAGTTTGCAGGACACAGTAGCTGTTGTCAAGGAGCTTAAAAAACTACAAAGCACCTGAAATCAATCTCACACAGGAAAAGAGCTTCTAAAATATGGAGGACCAAGATCTATGGAGTTTTTCCACAGAATCATTCAGAATGTTTGGTCAAGTAAGAAGATGCCAGATGATTGGCTCATAGGTGTTGTATGCCCAATCTACCAAATAATAATAATAATAATATATACATATATATATATATCCTCTGGTTTGTGAAAGCTATAGAGGGATAAGTTTAGTGTACACTTGCTACAAAGCTTTCTCCAAATTACTGTACAAGAGACTTGTTCATTATGTAATTAGAATTGTTGGTGATCAATGTAGATTCTGTACAGGTAAATCCATCATGGACCAAATCTTTGCCCTCAGGCAAATTATGGAAAAATCTCATGAATTTAATATTCATTTGATTCTCTTGTTTACTTACTATAAAGTGGCATATGATTCTATTAAACACAATGAATTATTGAGAACAATGCATGATTTTGACATTCCCTTAACTTAAACTGATAAAATTCATAAAAAGAACACTTAGTATAACTTTTTCCAAGGTTCTGATTAAAAGATACCTTTCTAGAGGTTTCTTCGTCAATACGAGAGTCAAACAAGGAGATGCCCTCTGTCATGCTTTTTATTTAAAATTGCATTGGAGAAGGTCATCAGGAAGTCTGGAGTAAATACCAATAGCAGTATTTTTAGAAAATCTGTTCAAATAACTGGCATTTGCAGATGACAGAACTGATGGCCAGAAGCAAGATATCTAGTAGAAGGGTTTGAAGCTTAGAGGAAGACTTCCAACTTTTGTTGTTTGACTTCCAACTTTTGTAGACTTTTGTTGTTTGACTTCTGAATTAGTACTTAGAGAAAGAGGCTAAACTAGAGGGCCTTATTATTAACATAGATAAAACTAACTATTATTAGCTATACTATGATATATGAAGAGGATATAATAAATAGATGCTGTAGAGGAGGACGGTTGAGTCCTTAAAACTGAGAATTGGAGGAGTTTGGCTGCTAGTACAGGTGGTTGGAAACACCTACCTAGGACTGTCAAGTCATGGATGATGATATGATTGAAATTATGCAGTTGCACTCATTCATCTTTACTGAACAACTTTTTTTTTTTATTTTTTTTATTTATCTATTTAAATGACTCCATCTGATACACCTAGTCTTGTATTTTTGGCAGGAAAAGTATTTACAAATCCCCAAAAAATACCATAAGGGGTAATAAAGCTATGGTAATACAGTACTAAAATATAACATTTCTCTAGTTTTTCATCATTATTTTTATTAAAATTTAAATTATTTTTATTGAAATTTTTCTTCTCACACAAAATTTCAAATTAGTTTGCAAAATGAGATTTCATATAATATGTAACTAAACTTACTTAAAGCAGGTATTTAGAATATAATTTCAATTCTACTCTCCTAATTGAAAAAATAAAAATACTATTTAAAGTTTATTAATCTTATTCTAGTTATTTAAAAAAGATGGAATATGTTAACTCACCAAAAGCCGATTCTTCTCCCAATTCTTTTCCATACTTTACCATGGCTTCCCCTAAAGTGCCCTCTGGTTGTGGATATGCATGAGCCTTGGCACCACCCCGCAGTTTGGAACTCACCATTAATTTTGCTCTAGATGCTGAAGTATCATTCATTATTATTAACTATACCATTTATTTAATAAATTATTTGTGAAACGTAATTTAGATAAACAAATACAGATTGTTTTATGTTCTTATTCAAAATAATTTTTTATTCCTAACAAAAACTCACAAAAATAAACATGAAAAAAGGAAATTTGTTACAGTAAATTCATTATATGAAACAGTAGATGCAAATTATTTCTACAAGATTTAAAAATTTAAAGCTTCTACCTGCAGATACACTGCTTATTGGATTTCTATCATTCCTATATACTTCATGTATTTCTTGTAGTGCAAATAAAGAAATACACAAAATAGAAAATTCATAAATGCAAAATAAATGTCAATATTATGATGGAAATGGAAGCTTGAAATAAAATATGAGGATGTAATATTGCATTTGGTAAATATCAAATAGAAAAATAACCCAAATCTTCATTCTTAGACACATTCTCAAAAAGAATTTCAACTTTATCAGTAAGTAAATTCCTCCCCCCCCTCCTGCTTACAAAATAGTTGGTTTGATTACAGATTTGATTCATATAATTTCACATTAGCTCATGACAGCTTTATGCAAGTCAAATGAATACTTGTTAATTCAGAATCAAGAGCCAATAATGGCAATAATTTGCAAATGTATGTCAGTCTTCCTGTTGCAACTCTATTTTGTTATTTGCACTCAAATCTTGAGAATGTAATGAATAAGATAATGCAGCTACAAGGATAGAAGCAATTAATTTGAAATCCAAAGCAGCAGATGAATGCTTTTGCATTATGAATTTCCTTACCATTTCAAGCTGCATCCCTGCACCCAGGTAATACCTAGGCAGCATATGCCAGAGATTAAAAATAAATCAACCAGATTAGCACCTGATTGTTTTGCGGCAACTAAAGTAACTAATACAAATTGCTACCAAATTTACCTTGTCACTTACCACAGCTCAAGTTCTAGGTTATCCACAAGTGCCATTACTAAATTAAATTTTGCTATTTTAAATTGGTTTCTTAAAATCAATTATATGGTGCTAACGGAAACAGCGAAGTTTTGGACAGTGTACTTCTTAAAAATATTCCTTATACCCCTCTCTTAAAAGTAATAACGGACTTAAATTCTGATCATCTTCCAGTGAACTTCAACTTTTATCACCTGTTAAAGAAACATAGAACTAAGATAAATTGGACCCAAATCTCTGATTTGATGAATTCACTGATGAAAGACTACAATTGCAGAAATTATTATAATCATTGCAATGATATTGAAGATAAAATTCATAAATTCACCATTAAAATGAAAGATGCACTCACTAATGCGACTTATCCCTGCAAAAGCACTAATTTTCTCTCCCTTCCTAAATATATAAAAGATATTATTGCAGAGAAGAATAGAAAACATAAGGAATGGCAGCGGTCCGGAGACCCTCGTGCCAAAAGGCACATCAACTTTTTAAACAGGAAAATCAAGCATGAAATTATGGAATTCAGAAACAAAAAATGGGACTTTCTCCTATCAAACCTGGATCCTCAAGATCAAGCAGTATGGAAAATTGCTAAATCTCTAAGAAATAGCAGACCAAATCAAACTCATGCAATTCATCACATGGGAATCTCTTATCAATCTGAGGACGAGATTGCTAATATAATGGCTAATGAATTAGAGAAAATCTTTCAACCTCACCCGCCTGAGAATAACTCCCAAGAAGAAGAAGTTAATTTTACCATTGACAGTATTAACAATTATCCTATTACAAATTTCATTCCCTTTACTTCACCAAGAGAAGTAAGAGAAATTATTCACAAACTCAAGCCAAGGAAAGCCAAAGGCTATGATCAAATTAGCAATGAAGCACTTAAAGCCCTTCCTAGACGTTGTATTACTAACATAGTCAATATTTTTAATGCCTGCATCCGAAATAATTATTTCCCTCAGCAATGGAAACACTCATAATTGTCAATATCTTAAAACCAAAGAAAGATCCTAAACTCGTCACTTCCTACAGACCTATCAGTCTTTTACCTTCATTAGGAAAAGTATTTGAGAAAATCCTCTGCTCAAGGCTCACTAACCATCTCGAAAGACTCAATTTAATAGATGATCTGCAATTCGGCTTCCGCAGTGGACACTGCACGACTCATCAAATTCTCAATTTGGTGGAATTTGTTTCGCAAGCCTTTACTAAGAAAAACGGGGTGGCTGCATGCTACCTCGACTTCGAAAAGGCCTTTGATAGAGTGTGGCATGCAGGCCTCCTGCATAAATTGAATAATTTTATGCTTCCAAACAGTTTCGTAAAACTCATTAGTTCCTATCTGAAAAACAGGACTTTTCAAGTTCGCTGCGGTGACGCCTTATCTGTCAGAAAAACAATTCATAGCGGGGTCCCGCAAGGGTCCGTTCTTTCCCCCCGGCTCTATAATGTTTATATCAATGATTTCCCGCACCCATTCAACACGAAAATACTCAAATACACTGACGACACTATAGTACTGACTGAATCCAGAAATCTCCAGCTCGCTCTAAGTAATTTACAAATGCTTCTCAATATGATCATTCACTGGTGTAAGACTTGGAAAATTAAGCTCAACGTCTCTAAATATTGTACTGTCCTCTATCGGAGATACAAAACGAAATTAAGAGTCAACACTGATATCTACTTAAATAGAACTCTAATCCCTGTAGCTAATTCGTATAAATATTTAGGCGTTTATATAGATAAGTCTCTCAACTTCAAAGATCATATTTCTTGCATCTTAAACAAAGCAAATGCAGCCTACATGCCAATTTATCCTATTATCGGCAAAAAATCAAAGCTCAGTCTAAAAATAAAGAAAATGCTTTACATATCTCTAATTCGACAGATCATGCTATATGCAGTGCCGGCCTGGGCAATCGGCAATAAAACTGAGCACAAAAAACTGGATATACTTCAAAATAAAATTCTACGTAGCATTGTGAATGCACCTTGCTAGGTGAGAAACTCTACAATTCATAACGACCTGGATATTCCATCTGTGTATAACTTTATACTCATGACAGCTCACAACTTCTTCGAGAAGATGAAGCATAGTCAGTATAACGCAATTAAACAAATGTTGGATTATGATCCAACCATTGAATACACTGTCAAACGCCCAAGGACAATTCATAACAATTCGTCATGGTGGTAACTCATAAATTTTAATTTTAAAATTTACTTCAACTCTGAATGTTTTTCGCACCGACCACAGAAATTGGACTCTATCCCATTATCTGCGTTGCATTTTATACTTATGTTAATCAAGAAACTTTTTTTTATTCAAGATTTTTATGTTACTATTTCATTTTTTAATAATTTTGTATGAATTTTTACTTTATCGTATGATTCTATGAACTTTTAAACTTTTACGGCCTACTGCATACTTCTGAAGGACTTTGAACTAACTCTTATGCCATTCACAGCTTCAATCTGTCTTCGTGCCATTTTCACAATTTCTCACTATTGCTTATCTGCACTCTATGATACAGTCAAAAGTCGTTAATTCGGACACCATAATCCGGAATCTATAATCCGGACCTCAAAGCTACAACTTTCTGCGCATGTGTCGCGTTGACGCATGCGCGTAAGACCTTTACCGCTGCGAATTTGCGTGTGCGCGTGCGCAAAATATGTTTACGAAAGCGCGTTTAATGTATAATGGACAGGATAAGCTAAGCTAAAATTATCTAATTATCTATTTCAGTTAATGTTGCAGATTGCGTTGTTCCTTAATCTTCGAATTGGATCCGGATTATTATTTTTTGCAGACTGTTAGAGCAATTTTATAAAAGTAAGCTTGAACTTTCGATTATGTCAAATAGAATTTCCGATGTATATTTTACTAATATGTAAAGGGATTACAAAGCGAAAGTATCTTTCGGAGTCCATTAAACAAAAAGTGGAATTGCTGCAAAAAATGGATAAAGGCATATCCTTTGTTTATCTAAACTTTAACGTTTGTTTATCTAAATTTTAACGTTTGTTTATCTTTAATGCCGTGGCGGCGTGCAATGAATTGGAAGTTGAACTGTCAGCACTATCCTTATCTTCAGGGTAGATGTTTTTATTTTATTTGGCTTATAATTCCTTATTAAATGTAGTATTTCATCTCGATGTACTCCATCTTTGATAGATTTTTTAAATCAAATTCCTCGTCATTATAATTCGCTTCCGATAGTGAAGAAAGTGACAGAGGTTATTGAAAACAAAAAAATTTCGATTAACAAATTAGTCGGTATTCTCGACACAGCAATTATAGGACTTGAACAGCGGAACTTTGTAACTGAACAAGAAATTATAATTTCTGCATGCCATTTTACCAGATTTAAACTGATGATCTATAATCCGGAATCGCCGAAGTCCCGACGAGTCCGGATTAACGACTTTTGACTGTATTGCACTCACCATCTGCATTTGCCATATAACTCACAGCACCTGCCTGCATGCTTCAATTTAATGCCATTGCTCTTCACTGCACAATTTTTACGATGAACGCTTACTTTCGTAAGTATTAAGATATGCCTGCTCAAGCAGCTGAATTTTTTTCGCCCACGGGTGTTGGTACTTCCCTAGTACCATTTATTTGGAAATATCTTTGCCTAGTGCACTTTAATGTGATCTACTGGCGAAAACTCTTCAGTAGTTAATGACCAGAAAAAAGTAAGTCATAAGTCAAATAAAAATCAATTAATTTTGTTTCATTAGGTTTGTTTTTATTAGAAATAATCTTTAATTTTTAGCTTAATATAACAAAAAATTGATTTTAACTATTATTAAGGCAATATTAATATAGAATATTTTTAAAAATATTTATTTATGCATTACAAATCCAATTTTATTTCCTCAAATTGTTTACTCAGTTTTTTTTAGTAATGTGCAACAAATATACACAGCTACAAATATGTGTTATCATTCAAAATACTTTAAAACATTATTTTAGAAATAATTAGTATATAGTTGCCGATAACGATCTGAAAACTAAGTTATAATATCCTTATATATTAATAGTGAATATTAGTCCCTTTAGAATTAAAATAAGTAAATAAATAAATAAAATGCAATACCTGGATTGGGTTGTAAATATTCTTTTGTTTTCACTAGCAAATCTTCAACAAGCTCATTTGTCAGGTCTGTTTTCTAAAAATTGCAAATAACACACAAAACATAACTTACAATAGAAAGTTAGACAAAAAAAATTACATAAACTAATTTTATGAAATGTTACACTATGACTATAGCAATAAAGTAATCAAATATTTTAGATGAGTACTAAAATAGGGATGTCCGACCATCTGGGTCACGCAGCCTAATAAGGAAAGTGATTGGGGACAGACAGCCTGGCAAAAATATGTCAAGGGCTGCACACAGAACTAAATGTTTATTAACAATCGAAATAGAACCTAAATTGCTAACACCATTGGAAAACTATGCATTTACTTGAATATAAAACGATACTTATTGTGAAAAAAATTTGAATATAAAATTTTTAATATCACACTGAGCCCAGTTATTATTAACATCCTGCGTTATCTTGCATTGGTACATAATGTAATGATAATGAGCTTTTTTTTGCAGATGTCTGTCTGAAACTTTCATATGTTTCACATGTGTTAAAAAAAAAAAAATTGCTAGCAAATACATGCACTTCCAAAAAGAGATATGAACTATCAGATATTTTTTTTTTTTTTTTCAGGTTTCCTAAAATGAATTGCTGTCCCCTTAAATAAATTTTCTTTATACAGCATGTCAAATTTCCACATATTCCATTTGCAAGTTTGCTGCTAATTTTGATATTAGCTGAGAATATTTAGAAAACATACTGAAATGCAACTGGAATTTTTTTATAATTTTTTAAATACATTTTCAATATTTTCAAATAAAATCTCAATCATTAGCTCCTCTGCAAGTTCTCACACCCAGGAAGTTCGAAAAATGTCTGCAGACAATCATCACATTGTTGTTAAAAATAACATGGAGGTATCCTGATGGACTCTACCATTAGGAGATTTCCATGTTATCTTATGAATATCTCGATGTTGAAACATTGTGCTGCCAACCATCATATTGTGAAAAGTGGCAAAACTTATAAGCTTGCTACCATTATCATTAGAGTTAGTATGTAAGCTGTGTTTTCCTATAACTGATCTAAATCCTTCTTTACGACCAACTTTGGCATTAAAATCGGCCATAATAATTTTTATATCATGTTTAGAGGCAGAGCGCCAAAAACAGTCAAGCTCATCATAACATCCTTTTCCTCAGCTGGTGCATACACATTAATAAAAGCATATTCATAAAATTGCCTCTTAAATTGATTAAATGGCTCAAAACTCCGTGACCAAATGATTTGCTCAGGATGAAAACAGTCCCACATAAATGCTCTGTTTTATGACAGCTATTAAAAAAAGGCATTTTTTTATTCTCCAATACCCCACCAGCCGGTCCAATGTATTTCCTGGATTGCCTATGAGTCTAATTCATAAGAATCCATCTGTTCAATCAACATTTTTTGAGTTTTATTCAAAATAGAGATAAAGAGTACGTACATTCCAGATCGTTTTAGACGTTCCGGTATTTGCTTCTTCCGACTTCAAAAGAGGATTTTTTTACAATGTAGAATTGTTAGCACTACAACCAATCTCCAAGTTGGAGGACCAGTTCCCTGATATAATCCCCAGGGGCAGGGTACTCAGCTAGAAGTCCATTTGGTAGGATCAAAATGCCATAATTTGCTATAAGCTGTTGCAGTTGAGTCAGACAATCAATTCTGAAAGTTGCAAACAGTTAATGAATTTGAACGAAGCACTAAAGCAAAACCAGCCAGATTATGTCAAAAGACAGAGGGCAAGAAAACTCCATTTGTACTATGCTGAGATATAATGCCCCACTCATCATATCCCCTACATATCACTCGTTCACATTCTATTCAGTTTGATCTATATGGAGCAGCATTTCCAGATAACAGTTTAGGGTTATTCTATATTTTAAGGTGCCCCTTAGATTATCGCCAAGTTGCTGTTTTATTTATCACCAAATTGTTGTTTCACTTATGGCAACCTGAGCAGTTGAATGTTACAGAAACCCTATTATGATGAGATTGGTGGCATGATTGCGGTGAATTTGACAGATGGAAAAATATTTGTAAGAGCTTATTTCTGCGCTGGATGTCACTGTTAGGAAGAACGTTACTTATTTTGTGTTGTACACTATAAAATGGATGTACATTTTAAGATGAATGTGAAGTTCTTGTATGAATTGGAACGAAGGGGGAAAAGACATTAATTGACTGGTGTGCAAATGAAGGTTCCTGTTTGTATGAAGGAAATACTTATAGTCAAATGTAAAGATCATTCAGATGACTTTGAATGGGTTTGTTGCAAGAAAGGTTTATGCAAGAAATGCCACCGACAGTCCGGCACTACAGATGATTTTTTTTTTTTTTTTACTCTTATTTTTGTGAATTTATGTGGTGATAGCAGTATGCATATTCTAGTTGAAATAATTTTAGAAAATTTTTGGATGCTGTTAAGGAATTTTGTGTGCCACAGACTGAAGACATGAAAATATATGGCAAGTCGATATTTTCTTTTTGTAGTGCATATATGCAATAACGTGCATTTCCTTTTTTATGTTATCTTATTTTATGATTTAAAATGCAGTTTATTAAGCTTCTATTAGCTACAAATTTTGCTCAATTTTGGTGATGAGTAACTTTGTTTTAGCATTATATGACGTCATCATTCTCTTGATTTTTTTTTTAATGAAAATAGATTGATGTGTACATGGACAAAGTCAAGGGAGTGTGCAATGCCAGATGTGCGCAATTCTCCGGTGTTTTTTTAAGTGAAAATAGATCGATGTGTATATGGACACCAATTTTGTCCAATTCTTTGTTATTTTGGTTTTGTGTAGTGGCCATCTTGAAACTGTGCCTTGCTGGCCAATCACCAAAAATCGTCAATTTTTGTCTAGGGGCACCCTTTAATATATTTTTACCAGGCTTAGTTTATCAGAAATTAGCCTCATGACTTCATTGTTTCAAAATAACCAGCCTTCTTTTTTTACAAAATCCATTAGTTGCCTAGAAGATAGGCAAATGTTGTTGCATCTGATGGAAAACACTTGAAAATCTTTCTTTAATTTTGAAAATAAAGAGATGTCTTTGAAAAAGGAAGGAGTCATGTTTATACATGCAATATGTTAAATCACATATTTTATGCAAAACTATTATAAAAAGATGCTGAATTCTTAAAATGTGTTATAAAAGAGACCACTTACCCTTTCCATTTCTGTATATTCTTCAGTAAATTTTGTACCTTCTGCTCCACCAATCTTCTCACTCATATACTGAAAAAAGTTATAAATAATTCTCAAGCATACATTAAGTACATTCAAATTTTATCCATCTACTTGCACAGAATATTAAACTTTGGTATATCCTATCAAATAGACAAATTCTCATTTGTCTTAAGTTTAATTAATTTTTATTGTTTATTCACTCGGGCGACAACTACTTTGAATATTTAACAACTCTTAAAATCGATGATGAAGAAGGAATATAAAATATGAGTAGAAATTCAAGAGGCAGTGTTCAACATCAATGTTTATTTACCTTCAAAGAAAAAAATGGTTAATTTCAGAGAGGTTCATCTCAAGAATTTTGATATATTCAGGCCAGTGATAATTGCATTGACTTGATGACCACTTCCCCTATATTAAAATTACCAGTTTTTAGCATGAACTACGAGTGCTGCAGTATCATGCAATAACTGCAACTCCTACCTGTTTAATTTTATTTAAATACAAGAACAAAATATTACACAAATTCTAGTGGAATTTATCCTTCAGAACTAGTTGTTCGAAAAATGCAGAAGGTATGCTGTCTCAGATTACTGAATTTTCTGCTGATTTTACCTCCATATTTATAAAGCGCACATATATTTATATTTTATGGTATACTAAACAATATTCACTAACATCCCTTCAACAACAACTTAGAAAAGCCTAGTTCTAAACATTCTCTGTAGAAAATTTCTCAGTTCTTAATGAAAGCATGCATTATTTTTAAAACTGCTTATCTTTATGACATTTACATCGAACTTACGTTGCTGAAAATGAGTAAATCAATCTATATACATCTACTTTTGCATATATATATATATTAACTATAAATCAATGTTTCACTGGTGCATACATTTACAAATTAGTGCTGCTTATAATTGTTACCAATACATTTTAACAAACCAGATACACTTATAATAATGATCTGCAAGAACTTAAATATGATGTACATTAAATTAAATCATGTTATGCATACTGCTTATGCCTCGCACAGAATATTAATAAGCAGCATCCGAAGAATACTACGCTGAAAATGATTTATTGTCTTGCTCTACATGCTCTTAACCTGGGCAACTGATACTTGCTCATAAAGATTTTTCTCCACAATCACTATTATTACCCGTTCGAGAACCCAAAAATAATGATGTGTTCTTTATGCAAAGAAATTTGGGTGGAGGTGGAAACCACAATTAAATCAGAAATATAGAGGTGATGGAATAGTTCAAATAAGAAAAATAACAATATATAACAATTTTTTGATTAATTTTTGAGTTTATCAACATAAAAACGGCACTGGTTCCTATGAAAAACCAATGCAAGAGATAAGGGTAGAGAAGGACTCTATAACTAAACCCTTCATAATATACAGTGGCTCCCAAAAGTGTTCGTACACTTATGATTTTCATTGAAATAGGGCTCTATCCATTAATTAAAGTAAACTTTCTGAATGAGATTTTACGAATATTCTATTCGTAACAAAATTAGATGAAATATTTTTTAAATATAGTGAAACTTTTATTTTTAAGAAATTAATAATAAAAAAATGACAAGCAGTTTATCTCACAAATGTCTTTGTACACTTCAAAAAAATCTCGACATATAGTAAATATTTTCCTTTTTCGTTAAATTAATATTAGTAGGATATCCTTTAGCATCCACAACAGCTTTTAAATGTCTGGGAATAGATTTTACTAGTTTTTTTTTTTTTTTTTTTTTTATTTTTTTTTTTTTTTTTTTTTTTGTAATTTCTGTATTAATGTTCATCCATTCTTCCATCATGGCTGTTTTGAGTTCACTTTTTGTTTTGATGTCGTGTTTTCGTACTTTAACCTCCAGCTCTTTCCAAATCTGTTCTATGGGGTTTAAATCTGGCGACTAAGGTGGTATTTTCAAAATCTGTGGACAATTATAGAGACACTACAGGCGAATGTTGAGAGATGTATACTTAGGATCGTTATCATGATTAAAAATTAAGTTGTTTCCAATACCCAAATTTTGGGCTGATAATTTTAAATTGTCTCTTAAAATATTTAAATAAAGAGAATAATTCATTATGCCATCAATAAATACCAAATTACCTAGTCCTGATGCTGTTATGTCCCCCCCCCACACACACAATAACACCTCCACCGCCATGCTTAACTGTTCAAACTAAGTTCTTAGAATGAAGTTGCTCATTTTTTCTTCTCCATACAGTTATTCGACCATCGGAACCAAAAACGTTAAATTTGCTTTTGTCAGCAAATAGAACATTATTCCAGTATGTTTCAGGTGTATTTATCATTGATTTTGCGAATGAAAGCCTAAGCTTTCTGTTTTTCTCACTAACAAAATTTTTTTTACGGGCAGAACGCCCATATAATCCAGCTTCTCTGAGAACTCGTCGAACAGTTTAAGCTGAAATTGAAATAGAAAACTTTGTATTAAATTCTGCAGAAACTTTTACAGCACTCAAACGTGGGTTTTTCACAAATTTTCTAATAATAAATCTTTCATCACATTTAGTTAACTTTCTCGGTCGACCTTTTCTTACCTTGTTTTCAATCTAATTTTCTTCTTTAAAGCGTTTTATCACATACTGCACTGTAGAATGGGATAAATTAACTGATTGAGCGATATTTCGAATTGATTTACCACTACTATGGTGAAAAATTATCAATTTTCAAACGCTGTTTGCGATTTCTTTTATGACTGCGACCCATTTTTCAATAATAAATAGAATATGAAGTAAACAATAAAAAATTAAAGTAAACGTTTTTTTAAATGCCACCACAATGCAAAAATTAAAAAAAAAGCAGCAAACAGTAATTCTAATTTTGATTTTATCTAAAAATATTTCAGTGTACGAAGACTTTTGTGAGATAAAATGTTTATCATTTTTTGATTATTAATATCTTAAAAATAAAAGTTTCACTATATTTTAAAAATATTTCATGTAATTTTGTTACGAATAGATTACAGATTATAGATCTTATTATTAAAATCTCATTCAGAAAGTTTACTTTTAATTAATGGATAGAGCCCTATTTCAATGAAAATCATAAGTGTACGAACACTTTTGGGAACCACTGTATATCTACAGATCTGACAAATTGTTTTTATAGTTAAAATTTTTAACTGCCAATAAAACTATACTCTTTAAACACCCATTCTGGTATTTTGCTACACCTTTACTCCCTTCCCTAACCAACCAGTACTTTGCACCTGCCATTCCATACCCTAGTAAGAAAGATAAAAAGTTTAAAATGAAGTGTATTGTCACATGTTCATGAAAAGATAGTGAAAAGCAATGCAAAATGTGGTACTGTTCTGTTATCAGGACCGGATTCAGAAAGGTATGAAAGCGTGTTCTTGTATGCATATATGCATATACTTCATACATACACATGTACGTACATGCATTTCTGAATTTGGTTCCAATAACAGAATAGTACCCAAAATGTTAATAAAATAAAAAAAAAAAAGAATATATTTAAAAAAATTATATTCAATATTCGAACAACTAAGTTGTAAAGATAAAAGCCTTGTTTTTAAACATAAAAGTTATGTTTGCTTGTTGGCTGAATGATGGAAAAGCCATTAGTATAAAACAAAACTGTCTATGAAAAATACAAAAATGAAAAGAAAATGAGTTGGATATGAACAACATACTTGCAAAACTACTACACTCAAAAATCAGATTTTTTTAAAAGAAATCAGAGGATTTTTCTCTACAACAAAAAGATTTTTTGAATGATAAAAATATATATTTTTGAATGATAAAAATACATATTTTTAATAATGAATTTACTTTAAATAGTTACTGATTAATATCTTAAAGTCCACTTACTAATTCTTAAATGCAAACAATATAAAAAAATATTTACATGTAAAAAAAAAAATTATTAGTTGCATCTTTTAACAAAAACAAAAGAAATACTTTAATTAGTTTTTGTACAAATGCTATGTAACAGTGGCAGATTTAGTTTTCATTAAAAAAGAAACTTTGCTAATAAAAGTTTTTCTAATATGTCATTACTAATAATATTTGATCTAAATTTAGTCCTTGTTTTCACAACAACACTGAAAAATCCTCTCACACTCCGCATTACTATGAGGAATGTCAGGACGGCCAGCGTTATTCTATACTTTAAAGTTCCATTAGCACCTTTCAGTTTTCCAATTAAACTCAACTGAGTGTCAATCCTAGCTGGTTTTATAACTTTATCCAAGTTTTTTTAATTGGAAACTGCAAATGAAATTTATCTGTTCAACATCAATATTATCGTCTTTCATGATTAAATGAAGTAAAATTAGAAATCTATTCAAAAAATATCTCATATCAGAAAAAGATACATTTTCTAGAATAGAAACATCTGCAAATTTAGCATGTAAAATCACTTCATCATTGAATGGGAATTTATGTAGTATGCAATCACATACTCAGCAGAAGTAGCTTCTAACATGGAGAGAAAACTTATTTTTTTCTTCCTCTGAAAGTTATTCCACTACTTTATTAGTTGCAGCCCCTATTACCAAATCTTCATATTTTTTCTGATTTTCTATTTCACCATAAATCATATATATAGACGAAGAAAAAACAAAGATTGGTTTTACAAACTTCAATAAATGTCTTTAAACAGATCATTACACAATTAATGGAATTCTGCTTTGTAGAACTGTGTTCAGAACACCGAATGAATTGTACAAAAAAGCAAAAATCTTTGTTAAGGTCCGACGACAAAAACATAAATAATCGTTCTTCATAAGATAAACTTACACAGCAATTGAAAAATGTTTCCTTTGCTGAGATATTTCTCTTATTTTGAGAGAAATTTGTATCAGCCTTACACTTATATTTTGTAGTATTATTTTGAGAACTGACAATTAAATTTCTCATTGGTGCAGAAGTTACTTAATTTTTCTCAGACTGACTGAATCAATCAGTGAGAATGACTGAATTTTCCAATTTGCAATAGTGGAAGTAGTCACTATATATCCATTTACTTTCAGTATTTTATAACTTT